TGTCAAAATGAAGTTGCTGTCAAAATGAAGTTGCTGTCAAAATCTAGTTGCTGTCAAAATATAGTTGCTGTCAAAATATAGTTGCTGTCAAAATGAAGTTAGTCTACTTCAAATCACACACACAGAAAACAGATTTGAATCTGTCAAGATGAAGCTGTCAAGATCTGCTAGCTTCCAAGAACAGTACAAAAGATGATTTATCCAATGTGTGAGACAACTAAAATCTGTTCATCTAGTGACTTGGGCAATTCAAGCAACAGTGTATTCAACAACTTAACAGGTTCACAACATGTATATTGAAAGCAAAACAACAAACTATTTGAAATCAATTCACAAACACAACAAATTCTTAAAACAAAAACCACCAAATCAAGTCAACACAGTTGTGGTCGTTCTTGTTGCTGTTTCAAAATATAGTTGCTATCTAAACAACACTTAATCCCAAACCTGCTGTGAAAATGGTTGCTGTCAAAAATGGTGTATTAAGCAAGACAGTGTATGCTGCTGTACAATACAACACTGTCCTTTAAACTTGCTTATTCAATCAACTTCGCTGCTACTGTTCTTGTTTCATCTCAACACAAACAGCTTCCAAACCAACAAGTCTGATGCTATTGATGAGGAATTAGCAAAAATTTGAATAAATCAAATATCCAGTGAGTACGGACAAAGATTATTTCCCAAACAGAAGAACTATAAATTTGACTATTGAACAATGAAATTCAAATCCAGACAAGATTTCGATTGATGAGAGAGATTAAATCAAAACACATATGTATGAACTAATCCCGAAGGAACCTAATCCGGACAGAACAGCATAGCATTCAATTCATTACCAATATAGGATTGAACGATTTATGAAACTAGGTAAGTGAAATTAAACGGATTAGAAGTCCGCTCAAACTAGTTCGATGCACAACAAGTTCTAAACCGCTCACATATAAACTGTAAACCGGAGGACTTACCTGCTGAATGGATCAGAACCCTAATCCGGTCAAATGGTGACCGGTGTAGATGAATACCGGGCAAGGCTTCTGCGGTGTTGATGAATACCGCTCAATGTGCGGTTTACCTCTCCGCTTGATACACTTGCAAATCCGAGGAAGCTTTGAATCAAACTAAAGATCAACCACCGGTTAAAAAAAATGAAAGATTAAGCTTCTTCTGTGTGCACCTGTGCGGTTTAGATGAAGATAATGGATGGCTTAAACCGGTTGGGCCTAGAAGATGGGCTTTAAAGACTTGGGCGGTTTAACACAAAGAAAAACAAACTCAAAATAAAAAACAGATTAAAACTAACAAAAACAGAAAAACTAAAAGAAATTTAAGAGAAATTGGATCAAAACACTGACATTTTAAAAAAAAATCAAGAACACGAAAAAATTTAAAAACACAAAAAATCCGATTGAATCTTGATAAAAGTTGATCAAAACACAAAAATTTGTGAACAATAAAGATTCACAACACAATTTCGAACATATTGATCATATTTTTAACACCAAAACACAAGATTTTATGAAAAAATGGGATCAAAATCAACAAAAAATTCAAGAACATGAAGAACACGAAGAACAAAAAAAATTCAGAAATTAAAAAACACTTATCTGATCGATTTCTTCATCTGATTTCTTGCATCCTGCTTTGATACCAATTGTGTGTCCACAATATCTGATCAATCTTCAATAAGCTCTATCCATGGCAGATTTAAGATAAACATTCAAGAACATTATGATGAATATTGAGAAAGAAAGTCAACACATATAAGCTCTGGTCAAACTCTCAATTATCAAAGTATTATTACAATTAAGCTCCTCTTCACTAATTACAAAGATTACCAACCTATATATATGGTCAAACTAACAAAAACAAGGTCAAAGTCAAACCTATAAGAAAAGTCAAACACGCTGACTTTTTTACAATTAGACTATTTATAAACTTTCAAGACGAATACGATTAATACTAATTTCTCAGTCCTAACAGAACTGATACATGCGATTTAATCCAAAACCAATCAACACAGTATACGAATTGATTAAAATGGGTGAGAAGAATCTTCAAATGAGGTTAAATCGATCAAGATTATGAACAGTGAGTGATAAAATCAGTGATTTACCAGAAAGATGGTCTCCGATTTCAACAGCCTGAGCAATTTACATAAATCCCAGTTTAAGATCTGAATTATTTACCAACCTTTACATGCGATTTAGCTTAAATCGCTCACCACAGAAGCTAAATCCGGTCAATAGTCCGCTCAAAGGTCGTACGAATTCGGACAGAATCCGCTCAAGTGATGTACGAATTCGGACAGAATCCGCTCAAGTGATATACGAATTCGGACAATTCTGCTTAAGAGATGTATGAATTCGGACAAAATCCGCTCAAGTCAGCGATTTACCAGTCGATTAGAGTTATACTAGCACAACACAACCAAGAAATTTGGAAATCCGGTCACAAAGACACAACAGTCTAATCCGGCCAAAACCTGTGAGCGATTTGGACTTATGTTCTTGGATCCATTTGGGCTTTGATTGATAAAGGCTAAACCGGATGGGCCTAATCCGGTTGGGCTGGACACAAACACAAAATAACAAAAAAAATCATTAGAAAAGATCAAAAACTGATTTTCAAGAAATTTTCAAGAACAAAAAAAAAATTTAAAAACACAAAAATTCACTAAAAACAAAAAACGAATGATCAAATCACAAATCTTTGTGAATAACAAAGAATCACAAAGTGTTTCGGCACATTTTGATTCCGAAATTAACCCAAAAACACAAATTTTTTAAAAAACATTGGATCAAAATAAAAAAAATAAAGAACAAGATGAACACAATTAAGAACATAGAAAAGTTTAAAAAAATTCATCATATTTGTTGATTTCTTCTGTTGATTGCGTGCACACACTGCTCTGATACCAATTGTAGTCCCTAACAATGATCAATCTTCAATAAAGCTTCAATATCTATGGCAAATCTGAATTTACAATCAAGAACATGTAGGAGAAGTAGAGAGAAAAAGTCAATATCTTCAAAGTCTAGTCAAACTCTCTATTACGTATATGAATTTACAATGAGCATCCTTCTACAATTACAAGAACCAACACCCTATTTATAGGGTCAAACAATACACAAATGGTCAAGTCAAACTATAGTCAGTCCTAACATTCTCACCCTTTCTATTCAGACTTGAAAGAAGTTCCGCGCTTTGAGTCCTGTTTGAACTTTGAAACTTTAAGCACACTATATCTTCTTCAAAAACAAACTTCAACTAGAAAACTTCAGACGATCGTTAGTTGAGAAAGATCTTCTAACATTCTCCCCCTTGAATGTAGACCAACGATGATCTTCTCTTTTGACAATATAGATCAGAAACAATAACAATCTTCAGAATTAATCTTCAGTAAACTGTTGTAAAGATGATCTTCACATTCAACATCTCTCAGAAATTATAGCATCGGAATAGTTTTCGTAAACATCTCCAGTCGCACTTCTTTTGAGTCTCTTGTAATTATTGAAGTTACTCCCCCTTGATCTTTACATCATATTCCCCTTTATAATGTTCGGAATTGGATATTTCATTCATTGTTACATACTCCCCCTTTTTTTTAATATATCCCATGATTCTGGCAAGCATTCCAGAAACTTTGTCAGTGTCTCGGAGTTGGAATATTCTCTTCCAACTGTCCTCAAGTCGATAAGGAGACAGTTAAAGTGCTAATCTACTTTAGAAAATGATTCATTCTTTCCACAAAGAAAGCTTTCATATTATCTTAGTAAATTTATTTTCCTCGACTCTTGTACTTGAGAAATACCTTCATATTGAACACAAAGTGTGTCCTACATGATTTTTGAGGTTCTTAACTTCATCACAGATTGATAAACCTCACCGGGAAGATACATGGCTATTATAGACCTCGCACGAGTGTCTATAGCCACTTTTTTCTTATCTTCATTGCTCCATTGATGAGAAAGCTTTAGAATCTGCCGTTCAGGAATCGCGACAGTCGTAGCAGTTTCAACGACAGCCGGAGATATAGCATATGGAACATAGGGTCCGTATTCTATATAGTGTGAAATTTCAGGATCCACACCTTCCAAAAAGAGAGACAACTGATTCTTCCAGAGACTAAAGTTGTCTCTAATGAATCGGGGAGGTTTGGCAAGAGAGCCATTGTCGTGAAAGTTGGTGCTGGTGTTTTGTAAAGCTATTTGAAAAGCAATAAATTATCTAAAGAAGAAGAGATAATAAAATGTAATTAAATAACAAAACAATACGAAAAGCAAGGCCTGTTGTGATACCACTTGTTGGTCCTACCCAGATCTACAAGAGTTTAGAGGTGATCAGTTTGTAGAAAGGGAGGGGGGATGAATTTAAACACACTAACTTTCATTCTATATATATATATATATATAAAGAAAGATCAATACAAATTCTTTGTGAAATAGACAAGGTAAAGAAAACATATATAAAACAATCTATAAATACACACAGATACACTTAGCAAATATATGAGATTTTTCGAAAAAGATAAGACTAGAAGTCTGTTCTTCTTAGGTATGCTTCTTAAAATTAGAGAGAGGAATTCTAATTTGCTTGTATCGCATCTTGCATGAGTTGAGAGAGCACTCATCTATTTATATCCATTGCATTAAATGTAATTCAGAAGAGGCAGAACACGTGTCAAGCTTTTAGAGGAAAGCTTGTCCTTTGTTACAGTGAATAGTACTTTTGTCTATTCATGAGCAAACATCCTTTCATAGAATTGGTGGGCACTAGAGTCGACTAATCGGCTCCGTGGTGTACTATACTCTTAAGAGGGTATGGGTTTCTCCTTTGTGTGTGGAAGGAAAGGACAAAAACAATCATGCATGGCAAGCTTCATTTGATCGCTGAATGCTCGAATAACGTTGGAGGTCTCTTCAGCATTCACTAAGGCTTGTGAAGTCTTCACACATATGTTGACTAGGTTGTAATCACTGAATATCGCTTCAAATTGTTGGAACCCAGATACTCTTAATTTTCAGAAGACAATCTTAAGAAGAATATGAATGGAATAAAACAGTGTACTGAAATGATCAAACAAAATATTCAACAAATATATGAACACTAAATGACTTTGAATATGTTGGATGCATTTATTAGATGAGAAAATAATATCTCTCAATCTAAAATGTATACTCACAAGAACTGGCTATTATCTTATTCCGCACTCACAGTTTTTTGTAACCTGAGGATGATGCCTCCTTATATACGCCTAAGTCAAACAGACTATGTTTGAATTGTGGCTTGAAACTCTTATCGCTGAATTCGCATCCTTATCGTTGACTACCCTTGAAAAGTGAAGCAGACTAAGTCAAGCCGACTTGATTCTCTTTGACGTTTACGAGAATATCTGAACTAAGTGCGTTTTCCATGGAGTTGGGAGACCAGAGGCTCTGCATGTACTATACAGAGGCTCTGCATATACTATACAGAAGCTCTGCATGTACTATGCAGAATCTTTGCATATGCAAAAGCTCTGTGTCTGGAGTGTAGCTCTCTATCAAGCGCTTAAGCTTTTTCAGGCTTAAGACTTGATAGTCCACGGAATTGAGCGCGAGCTCTGTATGTGAGATCCTTGACTCTTTGAGTAAGAGCCCTGTCTCTTGACTTCTTCTGCATGAGAGCTCTTAGTCCAGACTGCTTCTAAAGACTAAGTCCTATGGACTAGAGTAAGAGGCTTCTTACTTACACTTTCACAAGATGGGGTCTAACAATCTCCCACTAAATGTAACTAAGACAGACTCTTACTAGAATTAAAAAACACAAGTCTAATCGAAGCCAGAGGTTGAAAAAAAACCTCTGTTTTACATTTTCTATCTAAAGATTACAATGTGAAGAAAAGAAAATACAATGCTTGAAAATATAGAAAAAAATGCTTACAAGAAGAAGGCCTAGATGCGTTGAAGCTTATTGAACCTCTTAAGAAGCTCGCGAAACTCCAAAAAATTATTGATAGATCTCAGTGTTATATTCGACCTTTCCTTTGCATCAGGGGTGTTATCTCTGTTGATCCCAGGTCTCTCAATAACACTAATAATTAAATTAAGAATAACCTACCTAATTA